AGTAAAGCGCCACGAGCGGTTCAAATCATGGGGGGGGAACTCAAAACATGGCGCTGCCCTGCATAGTGCACCTCAGAGCGTGGGCTATCGAAGAAATCCAGCATATACTGGAAGCTGAAGGTGAGGACACATTAAGCTGGGCTACACACTTGGGCGAGGCCTTGCTGCGTGAGCTGACGCTTTCTGAATTACTTCTGGCAACGCAAGCCATTTTGCCACCTGTTCATTTTGAGCGCTTCCTACAGTTTAGCGTGAGAAACTACAGAGTGGAGACGATAGCCGCGCTGTGCACGATTCTGGCAGAACATGCAGAACATACAAGCAGATTTTCGATCGACCAGCCCCCTCCACAAGCATGAAGAAGTCCGAGGCCCCACTGAGATGCAGGCGACTACAGCTTCGGACAAGTGCTCGTCTCGGTCCCAAGTCCGAGCGACGCTGCAAACAAGACTCGAAGATTGTTTTGTCAAACCGTCGGGCGTGAGGGTTACCACTGCTACCCCTGGCGTGGTTGAAGCCACCTCGGTGGCAAAGCATGGGGAAGGACGGCTACTTTTAATCCGCGATGACCCACAGCAGGTTCGCAAACGTTCACTGCAGCGGGCATTGAAGCGTGCGGTGAACAAGGGGAAGGCGACCTACCAAGGAAGACCTCTGAGGGTTTGGAGTGTGCCAAATCCATCTCCTCAGCACAGACCGGTGATGCCTCCCAGCAAAACGAAGCCGGGACCGGAAAGAATCCAGTGTGTACACTGGAACTGTGGAGGCCTTTCTGAAGAACTCAAAGCTGAATGGTTTACCTGGCTCAGACAGAAACCGGAAGTGCGAATTTTCGTGTTGGTCGAAACCCACTGGAGCTTCAGCAATTCCTACATTTCCGAAGAATGGCACATCACCCACAGCGCAAAAGCTGCGGGTAAAGGTGGGGGAGTCATGATTGGAGTTCGGAAGGACTGCGTTGATCTCAACTCCATCAAGTGGAGAGAGATTATTCCAGGACGTCTGCTTCATTGGCGAGGTTTGATTGGCAGGCAACAAGTTGATGTAGCTGCAGTGTACCAAACAGCCTTGGGGTTTGTGAGCGGAGACCTCAAGTCGGACCTGATGAAGGAACGACACAAGCTTTGGACTAACCTGGATAATCTGCTGTCTGGCCTCCCTTTTCGCAGCTCCATCATCGTGGCGGGAGACATGAACCTCACGCTGTCGCCTCTGTCGGAGGTTGCCGGGCATGGCATCCTGCCAGGCTCCAGCGCCACTTGGCTTGTCCAAGAAAGGGAGGAAGTAATGCTCTTGCTTAAGAAACATAGGCTGGTAGCGATTAACACCTGGCGCCGCCCGAATCATACTTACCACCACCCCAACGGCAAGTCGCAGATTGACTACATCATGATTCGTAAACAGATGGCCGATAACATTTCCAGACAGTGCTCCACGATCTCCTCTCCTATAGCAGCATGGCGTTCATCGGGGCATCGACCTTTGCAAGCCAGCATCAAGCTGAACTGGAAGCCATGGCAGGGAGCAAGGACACGGCCATCAGCTCCGGCTCCCTTGGCGGCCAGCCTTGAGCAGATTGCTTCGGAGGCCCAGCCGTCTTTGTCAGAATTGCAGACAGCACTCAAACAGCAACTGGACGCACCACGAGCACCCCAGCAGAAGATCAAGCCGCGCAATGTGGATCAAGAAATACTTGCAGTATGGAGACAGCACAAATACCAGCAAAAACAACTTCAGAATCAGCAAACAGTATCTATTGATGCAGAGGCCCTGGACCAGGCTGCAAAAGATGCCAGACGCAATCTTCGCAAACTCACCAGAAGCCCCAGGAGACAGCAACTGCTTGACACCCTGCAAGCAGCTGAGACGGCTTTTAATGAGAAGCAAATGCGAACTCACTATGCGCTGATCAGGCAACTTGCTCCCAAATCCTATCGTCGCAAGCTTTGTCTACGTGATAACACAGGTGCTTTGTTGTCGAATGCGCAGGAATGTGAGTGGTTGAAAGAGTATGCTCGGGAACTCTTCTATGATGAACCTTTTTCCATACCGCCCTTGCTTCCTGTTGATCATGCTTGGTTTGATGAATCACAGTGGGTCAAAGCCCTGGAGAGACTCAAAGCCCATAAAGCTGTGCCACATGGATCTGCTGCCATTGCTAGCTGGAAGCAACATGCACAAGAGCTCGCCAAGCCCCTTTCCAAGATAGCAGTGAATGCGTTGACAGTGGCCAGCCCAACAGTGCCCACTGAATGGTCCATGGTACAGATGGCTTGGATTCCAAAGCCGGGGAAGGCCCCGACAGAACCCGGAAACCTGCGCACGATTGGACTGATGGGTGCTGATTCGAAGGCCTTCCTGATGATCCTCAAAGATCAAGCGGCGCCGTGGATCCAGCAGGCACTCCAGAACACCCCGCAATACGCTTACCGCTCCATGGCCTCTACTTGTGATGCTCTACTTCGGGGATCCAAGCACTGCATGAATGTACGGGCAGCGCTAGCAGGTGTTCTGGAGGATCACACCTCCAAGATTCTTCATACAGGCAGGGTTCAGCTGCTCGGTGGAATCATGGTCAGCTTAGATCTTTCTAAAGCTTTCGACAAGCCACAGTACTCTGAAATGTACGAGTCCATGAGGGAGACAGGCATGCCAGAAGAGCTGAGCAGACTCATCATGCATGTTCACGCCAATACAGCATTGCACATCGTTCACGGTGGTCATCGTTCAACAACAGGCATGCGACGTGGTCTCCGACAGGGCTGTGGTGTAGCACCCATTGTTTACGCTTGCTGGACCATCAGACTTTGTAGACTTATTAATCAGGCTCTCAGGCATGGATGGGCTCAGGAGCATTCCTCGATATATGCAGATGACAAACATTTCTACTGGGAGATCAGCTCTGAGCGTGAAATGGACCTGGCGATTGAACAACTAAAAACAATCATCACAATCATTCGTGCACTGGGCATGCAGATCAATTTTCAGAAGTCAGTCGCCGTCATTGCGCTCAAGGGGTACATGGTCAAGCGGGTCCTGCAGAAGCATATACAATGGCGATACGGCATCAAACATCTGAGGCTTCGCATGGAAACGAACGATATCTACATCCCCATTGAGGCCCAAATGCAGTACTTGGGAGCAGTGCTGAGCTACACCGCTTTTAACAAACAGCAGATCTCAGAGTCCGCCAGGCCAATCAGAACTTCGCACAACTACGAAAAGTACTCCGCACCAGTGGTGGACTCAGCAGGGCCCGGAGACTCAGCATATACCGAATGTGCGTGTGGACGGCACTCTTGTACGGCATCACCTCTATAGGTGTTACAGCGTCGGTGTGCAGAACTCTTCAGTCTACTGCAGCAATGCATCTTCGCAAGATCCTCAGAATCCACACAAAGGGCTACTCGAACGAAGCAGTGCTGAAACAGGCTCAACTGGAGCTCCTGCCGCACCTACAACGCGGCGCCCTGCAACAAGCTCGCTCCATTTCCACAGATGTTCAGCGCTCAACCGCATTGCGATGGCAGGAAGAAGGCCGCATCCAGCAAATTCACGAGCAGCTTGCAATTATTCAAAGCCAAGGTCTCAGCCAGGTGCTGGTTCAAATTCCCGAAGTGGAGGTTCGGCAGGTTGCGTGCACCATATGTGGCTAGATCTTCCCCACGGCAGCAGGTCTTCATCAACATGTGCATCAACGGCATCCAGAAATCGAACAGGCAGCAAGCATTGATTTTCGCAGAGACAAACACAGTCTGTTTGGCTTACCGCACTGCAGGTTCTGTCACCACCGGCTCGGCTCCTGGCAGATGCTCACCAAGCACATCACGCAGGGCATGTGTCTCAGGATCAAGCTCGCTCTTGGCAGAGGACAAACCATTGCACAGCTAATGGATGAGATAGAGCTGGAGGAACAACATTATCCCCCAGAACGACCTGCAGGAGATAAAGGCGACATCCATAGTGTCATGATCCCAGAGGCTTTGCAAAAGCTTATTCAAACCACGCCTCTACGTGAACTTCATCTGCACAGTCAGGCTTGGAACACCCATGCATCCCAATGCTGGCTTTGCGGACAGAGGCTCGTACAAGCATCGAGGATTAAAACACATTGGCAATCCTCGCACCAGGACGTATGGCTTCGATGTCGACTACATGCCAACACGGAGGCCGCGTGTCTCTCCTCACTCTTCAGCAGGCCATGCGCTTTCTGCAAGAGTAACGCTCGAGATGTGAAACTACATGCACGACAATGTCCGGTGATGATTCAAATTCTTTCATTGAGGTGGCTTCAAGCTCAAGATTCCCTCACCGAGTTGGATCCGGGTCACAAGCCCAAGGCGCGCAAACAGAAAGCGGCACCACCAGCGTACAAAAGCTTTGTGTCTCCTTTGACAACGGCCTTTGCCAAAGGCAGCTCTGGCCGGCAAGCCCCACAAGCACAAACTCCGAGCGCGACAACGAAGTCACAGGCTGCTGAACACGGCATGCAACATACTGCATTGCCACCCATCCGCAAAGTCAAAGACTTCATCAAGGTCAAGACGGGCAGCATCAGGGACTATATGCATCAGACGCACGCCCCAGATGCACCAAGCATCTCACCGGCGCAGGCCACCCTGAGCTGCAGACTTCAGCTACGCAATCCCCACACTCTATGCTATGCCAATGCCAGTATCCTGATGTTGTTGCACTGCATTGAACTGATTGCTCTGCAGGTGCCCACAATGACTTTCCTCACCAAAGTGGGAACCTTGGCGGTGTCCCGAGGCCAAGAAATGCTGCTGGCCCAGATGCATCAGTTCAGACAGCTGAGCCCTCGTTGGGAATTCAACAATGAGCAAAAGGATGCCTCTGAATACCTCCACGCCCTCTTCAACCAGGCCGATGACTTACAAGTTGTCTGGGATAGTCGGGTAACACAAGATGGTGTACCACGCATTGCCTTGCAAGGGACGCATCTTGTGGCCATGCCACTTCCTCAGCACGGCTCCAGGCGCATCCCATTACTAGAGGTGGTGAAACAATGGCACACCCAACAGCCAACAGGAGTCAGCAGCCTTTGTGCATGCGTACCCCATCGTTTGCATTCAACTCAACAGGAACCTCGCCAACCGCAAGGACAACAGCATCGTCGAGCTCCCAGATAGCATCCAGCTACCATTCCATACCAATGATCGACACATTGAATGGCTTGAGTACTAGATCAGCGGTGCGATTCTACATTTAGGCAGCACTCCACATCGTGGACACTATCGTGCTCTACTTCGTGTCGGAGCCTCATGGTGCCTCACAGATGACGGCAAACCTGCAGAATCCATTACACTTCATGATGGGCACCGCAGAAATGTATACATGATCATGACGCACTCAAGACCGCCGACATGTTCACATGCACATGTCGAAGCGGGCTCGCAACACCACTGATGACAGCTGCCCAAGCCTCCCCCCTGTCCTCGTCGCGGCGCAAGTGAATATGGCTTTCTCAGCGCCACCGATGGCCAGAGACGACGAGATGAAGGCCGCAGAAGCTTTGGAGCAGGGCTTCTTTGATCATTACTGGCCTGCTGTAGCTGGACGGGGCCCCGACTCTAGTCAGCTATCAACGGCACCTCCTTCTGAAGCAGCCGATGGTGGACATGATGATCGACAGAAGAAAGCTCCCAGGCACGACTGGGGCAAAGGACAGGGGTACGGCCAAGGATATAGCCGACGAGGAGGCGGCAAAAGACAAGCTGCGGAGACAACACCGTGGCGGCGCTCTGCGGATCAGGAGTGGGATCCCTGGACCTCGGCAGATAAGTCGAAGAAGGACCTCGAAAAGGAGGTCAAGCAGCTCCGGGACGATCTTTTCTCAATGCAGAAGCTGTTACTTCGCCATGAAGATTTCCTGGCAGGCCTTCGTGCTGAACTCACCTGGGTCATGTTCATGAAACTGGACATGAAAGCCACGGTTGTTCCGGCGCTGTTCGCAATGCAGCAGAAGTGGAGGGAGCTCAAGGAAAAATCCCCTCAGCAGCTCCAACAGCCGATGAGGGTTTTCCTCATTCGAGCTCTCTTCAAGGAGCTTCAGGCCAGGCTGACTGCGCTGCCCGAGTCGGAGGAGTTTCAGAAGGTGTTGAAGAATCTGGGCTGGTATGAACCGGAGACGCGGGATTGGTCTTATGTCAAGTGGGATCCGGCTGTTGAAAGACTGGTCCCAGACCAAGAACGGGGAGCTGTGGCTTTCGAAAGGCTTGCAGCCACCTTTGAAGCCATGCAAACCTTGACGGCCATTCCGGGAGCAGTGATGCGGTTCCATCCCAGCAGAGATCTCACCGAGAAGATGACGGGGCATGTGCTCATGTTCAGCCTGCAGCTCTGCATCCATGGCGAGGCCAGCCAGCAAATCCGCGAACACCTGGCTATGCTCACCGGCCTTAGTGTCACTCAGCTGGTTGGCATGTCAGTTCGCCCTGAGCGCCCAGTACGCTCAAACCTGGCGAACACGGTGCAGAAGGAAATCCAGGCCTACTACGGCTAGCTGTTGCTGCTTATAGGGACTATCGGTCCGGGCAACAGCCACCGCCGAGGGATACTCCCATGGATTGCTCCTCAGCGCTTTCAATCGATGTCATAGCGATGCCTATGATGTGGCCTTGTGTTTTCTGAGCCTCAACCCAAGATGGACTGCATCTCCGGGGCAGTGGAGACGCGCAAGACGTTACATGCAGTCGACAGCTACAAAAGATTTCGCTCCATTAAGCACTGCACTTCTTTCACGTCTGCGCAATGCTCTTTCCCTCCTTTCACATGAATATCCTTGCTGAGGTCACTTGCCCCGCGTCAACGGCACGCTGCTGGCAACTCCAATCGGATATACCGACTCATGAAGTGCCCCACGTCACTTCACCAGTCGTCCGTGCAAGTGATGTCTTTGAGGTTATGCAGTCATATCACTTGCACACCAGCCTTGACATACATTGCTGAGATCGTTGGGCTCATAACATGTCCTCCTGGGGTAATCGACTTCATGCCTCGGGCCGCGGCTTCATAGACCTGGACATCCCGGAGGAGGTCAGCACCCTCGCGTATCCACCCGATGCGACCAGGAGAGAGGACCACCCATATAGCCCCGGCCTGACTCAGTCAGATTTCCGCAGTCCTCCTGATTGCGTACAGGCCCCCAATACGGCAAGGATACGACAGCATGCACAGAGGGACCGCAGCCGTAGCAGAGATTACAACCTGCACAGAGGTGAGATTGTACCAGTTTATAGGCAGCTTTATGTTGATGAGATTTTCGCGAAGAACAGGTCTCCAGCGTTGTCATCGCTAAGATCCCCAGGTCCTCCTGTTCAAGATCGGGAACCGGAGCCGGAACAAGAACCAGATTTGGCAAGCAGCGAGCGCATCATTTCGGTTCTCAGCAAACCCCTTGACGATGATAATGCTGGCATTGACTTTGAGCTACCGGACAACGCCTTTGACACCAACCCCACGAACACCCCAGACGCCCTGGCATGCTCATGGCTCATGTCTGGAAGAGTGACTTTCAAACAGCTGAGACGGTTGTTTGACATGCTTCCAACGGTTGTGACAAAGAGGCATCAATCACCTCACATAACGACTACGACGGAGGCCAGAGCTATCCATTTTGGTGCATGGGTACATGGGGGCAACATTGGCATTACAACAAACTGTGCAAGCTTCCCGAATGTTGTCAAGCTACTTTGTCGACTACTACATACGCTCCATCCCCAAGGACTATATAGTACAGTTTTCTTGGCGTTGAATGTTCCGTCTGGTGTGCATTCAGATCCTCATAACCACTCTGAGGTAGAGAACGTGTTGGTGCCTCTCAGCAGTTTTACAGGTGGAGAACTGTTTGTCGCCGACAAGCATGGCTCTTTCAAGCTGGATTGCGAAGGCCTTGTAGGCTGTATAAAACCTATCACCTTGCCCTACACCGCCTTTTGGGCGAGGAGAAAACATGCAGTCCTACCATGGCAAGGCAACCGTTTCTTGATGGGTTCATATCACGTTCGCAACTCTGAATGGCTAAAGAAGTCGGACAAGGAACGCCTCGACAAGCTGGGGATGAAACTACTGTAGTATAAAGATCTTATTTGCTCGACTGCAGGGGACATGCAGACAGATGCGGCAGAGACCAAAAGAGCCAGCGTGGACATTTAATGCGGCTGATGCGGGGCCACGGCGGCCTACAGATACGTGTGAGGAATGTGATCCAGCACCTCGTCACAGGTACGATTCGCCTGCTCTACTCTGACGGATCGTGCGCACACTGAGAGCGCTGAAGATTCATTCGCTTCATTCCATGCAGTTTCTGTAAAGCTTTTCAATAGCTCCTTCCTGCCAAATGCAATTGTGTATAAAGCTTGATTCTTCAATTTCTATGGTCACACAAAGCTTCCCCAATTCCTCACTGCTTATAGGGGCTACCGGCCCGGGTGAGGCACTGCACGTTTTTGTAATGTGATAATGATTTGGGTGCGAGCAAAGCACCAAGGAGCATCAACGCTCCTCCGATCATTTCCTTGTCGTAGACAAGATGACTCACATAGCCACGCAGGGACGCCTTCGGACGTTTGCGCATTGAAGAAGAAGAAGAAGTAGTAGTAGTAGTAGCAGCAGGAGTAGTCGTGGGAGTAGGAGTAAGAGGCGGAGGAGGAGAGTTAAGTACTGTAGCTGTTATCATATGCAACCATAGGTCCACTGCTATGATGATGCAGGTGACGATGACGATGATGATGATGATGATGATAATGCTGACAACGAACGTTCACTGCCGTCATCTTCACGCGAAGGGCTCATAGCCAGAGGCCCAGGGTGTAAAATCTACGGGCCCAGGGTTGAAGGCTTGCAAGGAAGAGGCTACTTCGATGCATTGCCCATCGAAAGGCTTGTCGTTGTGGCTCCTCGTATAAGAGATGGTTGAGGCCTACATGCTTGAAGATCACGGGCAAGCTACTGAAGCTACCAGTGGCTGCCAGAACTGCCAAAATGCTTTGCCACAGGTTCCCGACCATGAAGCCCATAAGCAAAGGAGGCCTGAAGCCTGTATAAAGCCACCCTCAACCCCCAACCACAAGCCCGTAAGCAGAGGCACAAGTACCGGGACCGCGCCCGCTCAAGCCGGGACCGAGCTATTTGGCTAGCAACTTCCCCAGGGCTCTCAGGGTCCGTAGGGCCGTAGGGTTGGGATTGCGCCCTTTAAGGTGTCTCGGAAAGCACCTCCGATTTAAGGGTTTATGGTCTTATGGTGCAGGCTTCAGGACTGAGAGGTCCTTCAATGTATCTTGAAGGTGATATGCGATGTTTTATGGGGTGTAGCCTTCGGGTCTAGGGAGTAGCCTCGTAGCCTATCTGGGACAGTTGAGTTTCAGGGCACGTACGATCTGGTATGCAGGAGACTTGGGATATTTAGGATGTCGGATTTGGATGGTAGGGTTGAGGGCAGTTAGGACTGAGGGTTGGGGCAAGGGTGCATCTCAGCTATCTTGGAGTTTATGTGGATTTTGTCTAGGACGGATAGGTGAGGATTGTAGCATGGGATAAAAGGATTAGCTGTTTGGTTAGGCGGGCGTTTCAAGATCGGCCCAGGCCTAGTCAGTGTGAAAGTCCTCTGTACAGGTCAAGACTCGCCATGTAGCGCAACCCGGCATCCATCAAATAGGAGATCCTGAACAAGCTGGAATCAGTGCCCGGCTGGCTGGCGACGCAACCTATCGATGGCGACGACAAGCGCAAAAATGAGTCGAGGCGCAGCCGGTCGTGCAACGATGCCACTTCGACCATCACTGCCAGGCGTTCCTCACGACGGAGCGATGTGGAGGTCCAACTACCTCGGCTTTCGTTTGAGAGCTGCTCTCCCTCCACGCGGACTGTCTCGCTTGTCACACACCCTCCATGCATTTGTAGTCAGAGGCACTTCCCATTCTCGCCTCGCGATGCCTTCAACAATAAGACTGTGCGCTGGAGGGAAGCGCTTTCTCGTTTTTCCTATATTCAGTGCAAGGAGGCGACGTTGTATACCACTGCAGATGGACCGCTAGCTGTCGTCAACACAGGTTGGTAACATTTGGCGCAGGATTCTGGGGCAAGCGCGCAAAATCCATCGGTGGCTTTGGTGGGCTTCTTTTGCCCTGAGTCCCTAAGTGATGTTTCATATCGAACCACAAACATGGCACCCCAATGTAACTGTA